CATCCAATCAAAATCTGCAGGCAGTATATATATTTGTAAACAAGTAATTCCATTCTAGAAATTAATTAATAGATTGTTTAAAAAAATTGAATCTATGTCCTAATTAAATTAAAATGTACAAATATATACATACCTTGGCCTTGATAACACTTCCATTATGCAGTTGAATTAGTGGGTATGAAGTTAAAGGATCAGGTTGAACGGAGAGCACTTGGCATCCAAAACGGATAGTGCCATGAGGGAGACCCTCGGCAAGAGCTGTGACAAGATCACTGCGCAGAAGGCATCGAGCTTCCTCACTGCTGTCAAGTTAATTTTAACTCAGTTTTCTCTTCATCAAGTTGTAGATTATTAAGAGACGGCAATCAAACTAACAATTAACTTGAAACAAATTTTTAGTTAGTTAAAAAAACTGTTATTATGGAACTGATGTAGTAATAAAGAAAAAAAAAAATAAAAAACAGAAAAAGAGTGAAGTTTTACAGAGGTTTTATGGTTTCTTCCTTGTTCCTGTAAAGCCATATGTCACGTTGCCTGTATAAACAGAGATGATAGTCATGAATACAAGGGAGGGAGGGGGCTAACTAGCTTCCTAATTAAGGGTTGAGTTGAATGACCTTTGAATGGGAAGAGCAGTCTGGCGGAGCTTTGAAGCAACGCCAAGCTGATCAAGAGCACGCCATCCATTGGTATGAATACCGATAGCAGCTCCGGTTTCCCGAAGAGTCTCCGATCTTTCCAGAACTAAGCTTTTGATTCCCTTCCTAATTAATTAAACAACAAGCCTTAAGCACAAACACATATGTCTTAGATAATAGCAAACGAAAAATAGAAAAACGAAGAAATAGGACCTGTGAAGGGCAAGTGCGGTAGCCAAACCACAAATCCCTCCTCCAACTATGATGATGTCTATCTCTTCACCATACTCCATTTTCTTCCTCTCTTTTTTCTGATCTTTAAGTTGTTACTTAACTTGAGGAAGGTCAACTGTGAATATGTATGGCTCACTGTCACCAACCCATCATTATTAGGTTAAAACTTCATTTTGGTCCTCTAATTTAATAAAAGGTTCTTTTTTAGTTTTTTTTTTATTTTTAAAAAATCTCTTTTTATTCAATAAACTTTATTATCTGACTTTTTTTAATTTTCATCATTTTTTTCACAAATATCCTATTAAATAATGAAAATTCTAAAGTAGAGAATTAAAAAAAAGTTTTTTAAAATAAATAGACTAAAAAGAAGCTTTTTTAATTCTTTTTTAGTTCTTCTTTCTCTGTCATTTAACATGCTACATATTCAAAAAAATAACAGAGGATTAAAAAGGAATAGACACCCTCCTTAAGTCCCCAAACTTATCCCAAAATAACATTTAAACTTCTAAACTAAAAATAAAGCAAATAAACTCTTTAACTTTATTAACATGCACATAAGCCCTTCTCATTTATGGGTGTTTACGGTTTTAAGGTGATATTAAACATGAAATACTATTTGGTCAGTTTGTGAGAAGTATTTATTTGCATCATTAATAGAGTTAGGGACTCATTTGCTTTATTTTTAGTTTAAAAGTAGGTTTAAGTACCATTTTAGTCCCTCAACTTATCACTTTGGTACCAAAATTGTCCTTCACCTTTAAAAAGTACCAAAATTATCCTTAAACTTTCA